TGTAAGTATAAAATTGATTTAGAACCTGCCTCTTATGTGTATAAAACTATTTTGTGGTGATTTTCATTCCTTTTTTTGCCTGAATTAGTTTTACTAATTAAATGATTTTCAGTGTCATATTACTTTTTTAAAAATGGTTTATACTTTTAAAAATATTTTTTATGTGTATAGCATTTTGCTGCATGTATGTATGTGCATGTATTATGTTGAAGTGTGGTATACACAGAGGCTAGAATAGGATGTTGAATCCCCTGGAACTAGAATTACAAGATGTTGTGATCTGTCATGTGGATGTTGAAATCAAAGCTGGGTCCTCTGGAAAAGCATCAAATACTCTCAGTTGTGGAGCCGTCTCTCCATCCCCAGTGTCCTTCTTCTTTTTATTCAATCTCAAAGTTTTTGAGCAGAAATGGTGCTGCACATAGATGTCCCACTCAGTCTGTTTCTGGACAACACCTCGATAGCTATCCAGGGTTTGTCTTATTTAGAGATACTATTCCTTTTATACTGAACAATCTTACATCTCAAAGAGGACATATGGAATACATAATATTTGCACAGCCCATGCATCTTGGTCTTGGAAACCTGACTGGAAGCACCAGAAAATTAGGAGTACAGATGCAAGTAATATAACTCTAGGTTCAGGTGGGTCATGTGTTCAGATACCAACAGCCCAGAAATTCAACACATTTATTGTATAACAAAGAAAGAGGAAGGAATTAGTTAATCTTCATAGGGGCTCACTGTAGAGGAACAGTCTCAGGTAGTTATGATTATGTAGTTATCCAGAAGAAGAAAGTTGTGACTGGTACCCTTAGCACATATGCTATTTAGCCAAAAGCCAATCCTTTATTAACATTCATGCTCAGACCAGGGGAAGGCCTTGCCATTCTGCTGAGTGTGATCTGGTGAAGACCTTTCTATTCCCATGAGCCTGGGACATTGGCATCCATAACATTGCCATGTTTATGTCAACAATATATACAATCTCGCAGCACTTCAGCCACTCTCCACAAATATTACCATTGATTAGATCTGTTAGAACTCAGAATTCCATATTCCCTATTGAATCATAATTCTGCCCAGCTTTCTGTTACAGCACAAACCACATGTGAATACTTTCTATTTTTTTTACTAAAGTATTTTAATTCCACAAGCATTTTTCTTGCTTCTTTTTACACCCAAATTTGTGAAAATAAGTGATTAAAAAGAATATCTTTTCTACCTTCTCATTTATATTTTATCAAGAAGAGTCTGATATCCACCCACCATACTCCATAACACTATCTTAACAATTGCTAAACTCTAAATAAACCTCAGTAGCTCAGCACTCGTCAGCACTCTCTCATTAAACATTCTCTTGTCTTCTCAGATACATTGCCCTGCTTTTTCTCCTACCTTCCTGCTTCCTTCAATAAAATCGAATCATTATGACAATATCTTCAATAAATTGTTTAATTTAATCACAGTAACATGTTTCTATTGAATTTTCTTATCTAGTATGGAATGCTGGAGTCATTCACTATTTAAGGCACTGTAAAGATGTTGGAAGGTGAAAAAGACAATGCCTTAATCACACCCCATTTGTGGTAAGAAATGTATGGGTCTGACTTTCAACAAACAAACACGCACACATGCACACATTCATATGAACCAAACGGCCATGCCTGTCTACTACTATTGAAGCTATCATTATTTTCCTAAGCTTTGACTTTTCTTTTCAATTAACACTTCCCTTCTCAAAAAATTGTTTTTTCCTGGAGGGAAAAAAATGAAAACTATAAGAGAATAGAAGGGGAAACAGTAACATAAAGGGGTTGGCAACCAAACGTTGATTGAGGTTGGATCTCCAGAGCCCACATGGTGGAGAAAGAGAGAACCAACTACAGAATGTTTAGCTTTAACCTCCCCGTTCATGTCTTAAAGTTCAGAAATGCCCAATTCATTGAAAACTGTGCATTCCACAATATCCTGCTCAAATACTTGGATTCATTTGGCTATCATAATATTGATTTTGAGATGGTTACCAAGCTCAAGGTTTTACCTTCTTAGAAATTACATATAAAAAATAAAATGAAAACATGACAAAATTATAGACAAAAATTTTAATATTTAAAGAAATAAGCCGGTCATTTTCTCATGCCACCCTACTTATAAATGAAGAGATTCAAATATAAACATTGTTCAGAGTAATGTTTATAGGCATAGTCTCTGTGTAAGTGAATTATGATCCTAATAAACTTGTAAAGGAAGAATTTACAGGTCTTGGAGGGTACATATCCAAACAAAGATACAATCACTTCAAGAATGGCTTATATTCAACATGTACTTAGAGAACACTTTGAAATAGTAATTATTCAGCAAAAGTCATCCGGCCTACAGGAAAGGAAGGTAGACTTCAATTCTCCTGCTGCAATCAGTTTTTGCATGTTTGACATTTAGAAAACTCAACTTACAATGAATTCTGACTCTCTGTATAGATAAAACATCTCAGCTGTTGTAGGCTTTCCTCTGAGCAGGGCTGTTGATCTGAGCAGCTAGCAAGATAGCTAGGGGAGATGTGCATTGAACCAGTTCTTACAGCCACAAATTAAAAAACAAATGGATGTAAGTTAGATACGGAAAATGCAGCACAATAAAACTATTGACCAGTGGGCATATATAGAAAACAGCAGCCTGCAGCTGAAATGTTATTCTCCTGTTGGTTTGTAACAAAGAAATTGAATTCAAATAAAATAAAAGAAAGGGATTGTATTAAGAGAAGTTACTCAAATGTTTAGTCTAAATACTTAGGTTCATAGAAAGATCTTATTTATCAAAGTAGAAAAATGACATGAAGAATATTTGTGTAGCTCAACAATAAATTTTAAAATAGATATATAAATAATAGCATCTTGTAGAATTGTTAATGACATATAGTCCTCTAGGAAACAAATGTGATCAATTCTAAATAGATTCTAGCAGAAGATATAGAAAAAGTAAAGCCTTATTAAAATTATCCTGTAAGGCCAATAACTGACTCCAAAGATAAATGATAATTGTAAGATTATAAAACCTATAGTCAGTCTCATAAACATGTATATAAATACTAGAAATAAATAATTTTCAAAATGAACCTAATGCGCATGATCTCACTAGCACTGGGAATCTGACTAGGTTTCAACAACAGGCATGATTTCCTTCCTGTTAAGCAGGCTTTAAGTCCAATTACACAGCTGTTGGTCACTAAGGATACATGAATGCTGCTTACTGCACCTTTACAGATATTTTGACTTAGTGGTCATTGGCATAATTCATTGGTGTTGGAGCTGGGAAGGATGCTTTAATTGATTCTCTTTTAGCAGCTTGCTAAGTAGCCTCTGTTACCACTGAGGCTAGAGTGCAAGAAATAGGCTTTCTTGTCAGATGCAGCTTGAATCATCTAAGCCTTGTATCCTAAATGTTCAGTGTTTTGAGCAACAAAAACCCACCAACAACTCTGAGAGTCAAACAAGAGCTGCTTCAATAGTTTATATTGTTTTGGGAGTCACATGAGAAACTCTAATCAACCATTCAAAAGGTTTCTCATATCTTGTACTTGGTATTTTGTTAGAAACAACAACATCTACCTCACAGCTACCACATCTATAAAGGTTCATGAAACATCACAGAAGATGGGCAGAAAAGATTAAAAGAGTCAGAATACCTTGAAGTCTGCTGTAAAATAGTTTCTCCTAGAAATGGCTGCATAATAGAAAAAGGGCAATATCAAGGCATATGCTAACACAGACTGGGGAAATTTCATGGGATCCAACCCCAGCACAAAGAAATACAAGCTATCAAGGACTGCTGAGAAAGAGTTAGTTTCTCCCAGGAATGAGTCCCCTTATTGGTTGTCCAGTGCAGAATGGTTAACCCTGAGACCATAAACATAAACATATACATAAACAACAAAAGAAACCAACAAAGTGGGGAAAAAAAAGCAAAAGGGGGGTCAAAAGCAAGAAGAAAAAAAAAAAACAAAAAGAAAACAAACTGAAAAGGGAAGAAAGAAAAGGGAACTGGAAAGGGTTGGAAGGAAAAAAAGAAGAAAGAAAGAAAAAAATCAAATTCCCTTAAAAAAAATTTTTTAAAAACCAATACAAGCAATAGTGGTGAGGTGCCTGAACTGGCCTACCCTGGTACTCAGATTGGTGAATACCCTAACTGTCATCATGGAGCCTTCATCCAGTAACTGAAGGAAGCAAATGCAGAGATCCACAACCAAGCAACTGGCCGAGTTCCATGAGCCCAACTGAAGAGAGGGAAGAGGGATTCTATCAACAAGGAGGGGTCAAGATCATGATGGGGAGATCTACAGAGACAACTGAACTAAACTCATTGGAACTCATAAAATTTAGAGTGATAGCTGTGGAAACTGCATGGGACCAGACTAGACCCGCTGCCTAAGGGAAACAGTTGTGTAGCTGGGTCTGTTTGAGGGGGCCCTGGCAGTGTGATCAGCATCTATCCCTGGTGCATAAACTGGCTTTCTGGAGCCTATTACCTATGGTCAGACACCTTGCTCACCCTTGATGCAGTGGGGAGGGGCTTGGTCCTGCCTCAACTGAATGTACCCAATGGGAGGACTTACCCTCTTGGGAGAGGGGATGGGGGATGGGTTGGGGGAAATGCAGGGGTGGGAGGGGTGGAGGGAGCAGGAAGAGAGATGAGAGGGGGATCTGTGATTGGTATGTAAAATGAATAAAAATAAGTTTTTAAATAAAAAAGAATATTTCAAATGATATTAATATTACATTTAGTTTATTTGAAAAAGTAAGGCTGTTTAACATGAGATTAAAATATATAAATTGAATACATGAAAAGAATAATGTTCATAACAGATATTAAAAGATATCTATATAAGCATATATGTATCATACTATTAAAAAATAAAAATATCAAATGCAAAATTGAATTAAACTAGCATCATTTGCAGGCTACATTAAAATTTCTTTACCAAGGAGCAGCTCGGGAACAGGGTCGCTCGCACGTCTCTCCTAAACGCTCTCCAGGGTGTTTGCAGAAACATCTGTTCGTTTCCTGCACAGCAACACGGCTGCAAGAAATAAACCATGTCTATCCTCAAGATCCATGCCCGAGAGATCTTTGACTCCCGCGGGAACCCCACTGTTGAGGTTGACCTCTGCACCTCAAAAGGTCTCTTCCGAGCTGCCGTGCCCAGTGGTGCTCCACAGGCATCTATGAGGCCCTAGAACTCCATGACAATGATAAGACTCGCTACATGGAGAAGGGTGTCTCAAAGGCTGTTGGGCACATCAATAAAACTATCGCACTTGCTCTGGTTAGCAAGAAACTGAGTGTTGTGGAACAAGAGAAGATCAACAAACTGATGATTGAGATGGATGGCACTGAAAATAAATCCAGATTTGGTGCGAACGCCATCCTGGGAGTGTCCCTGGCTGTCTGCAAAGCAGGTGCCGCAGAAAAGGGAGTACTCCTTTACCGTCACATCGCCGACTTGGCTGGCAACCCTGAGGTCATCCTGCGGGTTCCAGCTTTCATTGTGATCAACAGCGGTTCCCATGCTGGCAACAAGCTGGCCATGCAGGAGTTCATGATCCTCCCCGTGGGGGCGTCCAGTTTCCGGGAAGCCATGCGCACTGAGGCAGAGGTTTATCACAACCTGAAGAGTGTCATCAAGGAGAAATACGGGAAGGATGCCACCAATGTGGGTGATGAGGGCGGGTTCGCACCCAACATCCTGGAGAACAAAGAAGCCCTGGAGCTGCTGAAGAACGCAATTGGGAAGGCCGGCTACACAGACCAGGGCGTCATCGGCATGGACGTGGTCGCCTCCGAGTTCCTCCGGTCTGGCAAGTACGACCTGGACTTCAAATCTCCTGATGATGCCAGCAGGTACATCACATCTGACCAGCTGGCTGACCTGTATAAGTCCTTCATCCGGGACTATCCAGTGGTGTCCATTGAAGACCCCTTCGACCAGTATGACTGGGAGGCCTGGAAGAAGTTCACAGCCAGTGCAGGCAGGCATCCAGGTGGTTGGGGATGATCTCACAGTAACCAACCCTAAGAGGATTGCCAAGGCTGTGAGTGAGAAGTCCTGCAACTGCCTCCTGCTCAAAGTGAACCAGATTGGCTCTGTGACCGAGTCTCTGCAGGCGTGTAAGCTGGCCCAGTCCAAAGGTTGGGGCGTCATGGTGTCCCATCGCTCTGGGGAGACTGAGGATACTTTCATCGCTGACCTAGTGGTGGGACTCTGCACTGGACAGATCAAGACTGGTGCCCCATGCCGATCTGAGCGCCTGGCCAAGTACAATCAGATCCTTAGAATCGAGGAAGAGCTGGGCTGCAAGGCCAAGTTTGCTTCAGGAACCCCCTGGCCAAGTAAAGTGTGTGTGGAGATCCCTGGAGCCACCGGCTGCTTCGACCCTGTCCCTGATGTCAACGAGGCGGCTCAAAGCTGGCCCAGCGCATGTCCCTGCCATGGCACTGCTTCCTTAGATGTCCTTAGACAGTCACACCTGACCACCTTGAGCCTGCTGGAAACCCCAGCCTTGTAATCATGTGATTGGTCTGAATCATTGTTTCTGTCACCTCACTTCCAAGCTAAGTGTCTGGAGCCCAGTGTAATCTTTAGGGTGGCCGCAGGTTAAGATCCCTGCCCCAGCAGTTCTATATGCAAAATAAAAGCCTCAGTGACCCATAAAAAAAAATTCTTTACCAAGCCTCCAAAGTAGTTGTAGAATATGAATATTTTTTTTCCAAGAAGATACAAAAAACAAGGAGGTGAACTAAAAGAAATTTTGTCACTCTGCTGGAATACTTGGACATTGTAGGGGAGTATAAGGGAAAACATGAATAATAAATACAAATGCAATGATTTTGTGGGGAGGGGACTGGAAATATGACTAAAGACCTGAGCTAGATTCTTATCACCCATGTCAGATAGCTCAAAGCTCAAAGCTGCCTGTAACTCCAGGTGCAGGAGAGTGGTCAGGCTCTTCTGGCCACCTTAGCATACACACTCATGTTCATAGGCCCATAATCAGTTGCACACATATACATGTAATTAAAATTAAACAATTTATTTTTAATGAAAATAAGTGCACCTAGAAAGACTATCATACACAAGTTCAAAGTACAAAATTTTATTTAAGTTGTATTTAAAAAGTAAAACATTGAACCAATAATTATATTTTTATGGGACTGGATAGAACCACAATGTACATGCTTATAGGAAGGTAAAGCCTATGAGATCGAGAGATGAGCCAACCTGGAGTCTGCCCGAGGGCTTAGCAACAGGTGCTGTCAGAGGTCCTGATCTTGCCTAGCCAGTGAAGGACTACCATGCAATGTCACTGGATTGGAATGCAGCTGGGGTATTGGGGGGAGGGTATAGAAGGCTCTCCCCACTGCTGAATAACTGAGTCTGCTGTTTGCCCTTTACCTGACTCCACATGTCTGTGCCATTGATGCTGCTCCTTCTCTCCCCCTCTACCTGGCAAGCAACATCTGGCACCTGAACGTGGGATTTCTGGATTGAATTTTGAACTTGCCTGGGTCAGGGTCCTTTTCTTTGTTGTGACTGTAATTTTTGAGTTTTGATTTTTGTCTGTTTTTGCCATTGCTGTTTAAGGCATGAGGAGATACTTTCACTTTCCTGGCACCAGTTCTGGTCATTTAGCTTGCAGTGCTGGACAGCACCCCCAAAATGGTCTGTTTCAATGACAAGTCCCCTCAATGTTGTGTGTTTTTGATCCCTTCGGGAGGTGAGCATTGGAACTCGCCTTTCTTTCCTTCTTTTGTGTTGTCTGTCATGTTTGTTCTGCCTGTCCGGTCAGGAAGGCACCTTTTTTCTGTTTTGGTTTGCCCAGCGCCCCCACATAAGGGTTGAACACCATCCCCCCAGGAGGTGGAACCAAGGCTTAGCTCCCAAACGCTGTCTCTTGTCTGGAGACACTATGTGAGCATTTAGCCATGGCCTAAGAAACCATGGAAATCCCCCACTAAGCATAAAGCATATATGGTCCAACACAATTGCCCATCCCTATTGACTGCCATCTTCTGATTGTTGTTCACCTGCTGTCCCCCTCTACAAAGTGGGTAACCTCTCCATCTCTTTCACTCAGTCCAGGTCTGATCTCTCCATGACACCCAATGAGGAGGAGGCAGACAATTCAGGCCCCATGAGACCTGTTGAGCAGAGCACAGCCACAGTTAAGCTAGCATGTGCCACTTTCCTACTAGCCTCACTCCTGCTGTGGGAAGCTACACCTCCAAAGTGGTACCCTTGGAGTGAAGTGTCTCAGTGTCCATCTGCCCCTGAGGGCAGAAATTCCCTCCAACTGCAGTATGCCTCCCAGCCACCACAGCCTCCCTGTCTCAGGCCTCAAAAGCTAGCAGAAGCCTTCCTGGTCAACATGTGACAAAATGCTGCTAACCAGCCCTGGATTCCCACCCTCAAAGCTGAACTCTCCCTTATCTGGAAGGTGGCTAATGAGTTGGGCCTAGATTTACCTTACTTTGAACAGGTCCTCACTCAATGGACAATGCAACTACAGACTTACTTTGATACAGCCTACTCAAAGCTATGCTGGAGCCAGCTGCCTTTCTTAGCTGGAAATTGGCTTACAGTGATCAATCAGAAGCTCAAGCATGAAGGAACCTCTTGATTAACATTCTAATGACCCTTGACATGCTCACTGGATGAGATAACTTTGTCCATCCCATTCACCAAGTGCAGATTGGCCATGAAGCTTACACCCAACAGGTTTTTGACCTGGCCTCCAAGGCTCTTAAGGAATGCACCCTGTGGGACCCTTCAGCTTATTTCTGCAATCTTTTTCAACAGCGAGGGGAACTTTTTATTGATTTTCTTGAATGTGTCAATGAGGCAGTGGAGCAGAGAGTAGACCTGGGCCCCACTAGGGAAATGTTAATCAAACAATTGGTTTGAGAAGGGCTTGATGCCCCAACCTGAAATGTGGTCACAGCAGTATGCAATGAGGACATTCACCAAGTGAGTACTGGTCACAAGAGATCTTGACTCCAGTAACAGTCCAATCACTGCCTTCACTTCCCTGAATGCTCTCCTTGTGTATAGACAGTGCACCAGCAACAGACCTAAGGGCCCCTAAGTAGACAGATCTTGCTGGGGATGTGACAAACTAGGCTATTTGTAGCATGACTGCCCCTGAGCAAAGCCTAGGACTCAATGCCCCAGATGTAATACGGGATTTCATTTGGCAAAGGATTGCAGATCACAGCCTGCTGAATCACCAACCCCTTTATACTCCAGGTAGGGCACTCTCCAGCCTACTATTAAGAGGTGGCTCTGATAATCTAAAATCTATTGGACACTGTCCATTTTTCCACATTCCCCAAATGCTGACCATCTATTTTGATGAACAAGCTGTTAAAGGCTTGGTGAGTACAGGTATAGGCATCACCATATTAACAGAAATATGGCTTTCCACTCTCTTCATTGGAAATCTAGACCTGACACTCCCATCAGTGAAGTAAGAGGCCAACAAGATTCAGAAATTACTACCTATCCAGTCCATTGGAAAAACCCTGATGGCAACAAGGGAGTCATTTACCCTGTTATTCCTACAGTACCAAGAAATATTTTGGGGCAGAGACATCCTGGAGAGTGCAGGTACTGTTCTAACTACTGATGACAGAGCTTTCTTTAATGACCTTCAGGTCCATAAAAAGACAGGTTGGGCAAGTTGAGACCCTACTCAAGTCACACCCTCAATTCTAAGGGCCACTATCCCTCAGAAATGCACCACAATCAAGCCTCCTAGCCCCATTTCATTGACATGCATCTTAAATCAAGATGTCTGGGTGGAGCAGTGGCCTATGATTGAACCTAAGCTCTCAATCCTAAAGGAATTAGTTGCAGAACAGCTAAAGATGGGGCACATAGAACTGACCACAAATAAACATGACAACCCCATATTTGTTATTCCCAGGCATATAGATTTTTCTCAGTTTTGATGAGGTGGGACTCAGTCTAGCATATAAACATTAGGTATTCCTTCTCCAGGCCACATCTCTATCTCTAGTAAGATGTAAAGACCCATTTCTTCCTCCAATGGCAGCCACCAGCCCCTTTGCTGACCCATGGGAGAGGATATGCCTGTGTTTTTCCTCAGAGTACAACTATGCCAGTATGGGTCCCAACAAGAGAAGTGTATCCTGCCATGGATCAGCTCACCTCCATCCAAGAAGAATGGGCCATGGATGGGTAATGTACATATTCACCACCGTTGCCCCTTTTATTCCCTCAAAAGCAGATCTATGGGCTCTATTTCCCTTGCTTCCCATTCTGTTGCCAGTGGTAATTAACTCCTCTACTTCCCCTGTGATATTTACCACCAACTCGTCCCTAGGCCTTTATGAACCTAGTGCTGACCACCAAAAAATTGGAGGGCACCAGGTCTGTGGAGGAAGCCCTTTGCTTTACTATCCTCCCTTTTTTTCCTTTCTGTTGTCCAATGCTAAAGAAATAGCCTGTGATCTATGCTTCCAGGCAATTTGCCTCATCCCTTAATTATTCCATTCTACTCCAGAAACAAATATCCCATCTCAATATGACTAGGGTCTCAGCAATATCACTGGAGACAAATATTTTCATTAAAGTCTGGGACAACTTTAAAAGGCTATTTGATTCCTCCTAGATGCTCACATGTGCTTTGATTGGTAGGGTGATACTGTTAATCCTTATTCTCTTTATATGCCTCCTGTAGCACATCCGACAGCAGTGGGCAGCAAATAAAGCTACTCTCAGGTTTTAATGGCTTTTAGATATCCTGTTCATAGCCCTCAACAGGAGGTTATGCATGCCTGGTTCTCTGAAATTCAAAGGTTACTGCCTCTCTACCCAGGGCATCTCTTCAGGAATGGATGCTCTTTGAGGGCTAGTAGTCAATGACAGATGAGAGCTTGTTATGCAACCCTACCTAAGACAGACACAGTTCAGTTGCTGAGCCCTGCTGAGGTGGGGTCAACAAGGTCTGAGCAAAGAACTCTGGCCCCCACTGAGCACCCATGTAATAAGTAAAGGAGGGTGGATATTTAGGAAGATAAAGCCTACAAGGCCGAGAGATGAGCCGACCTGGAGTCTGCCTGAGGGCTTAGCAACAGGTGCTGTCAGAGGTCCTGATCATGCCTAGCCAATGAGGGGCGACCACTCAATGCAGCCTGGGTACTGAGAGGAGGGTATATAAGGCTTTCCCCATTGCTGAATAACTAAGTATGCTGTTTGCCTTTTACCTGACTCATGGTGTCTGCGCCATTGATGCCATGCCTTCTCATCCCTCCCCCAAGGGAGCCATTAGGACCCAGCAACACATGCTAGGTAAGTATACTAATATTTTGTCACATTCTCAGCCCAGTGAAAAATTAAAACACTTTAATAATATTAAGATAAAATTATACACACCTAGAGATAAAACAAAAGTAGTGATATCTAAGGTTATATAAAGAACTATTAAAAAATAAAGAAAATCAATAATCAATAGACATACAATGTTAATGAAATTGTAAATACATAACCATTAAGCTATTTCTTCAATAGCTACTGTGTGTACATGCATGTGTATCTGTGTTTATGTATGTGTATGTATATGAAAGAGAGAGAGAGAGAGAGAGAGAGAGAGAGAGAGAGAGAGAGAGAGAGAGAATGTGTGTGTGTTTAAAAAATATC